GGTATAACTTGACGATGTAACTTGCCATACTAGCCTTTTAGCAAGTACTTAGGCTGTTAGTATGGTAAGCTACAACGTCAATTTATACTACTAAAACTGTCTGATGGCAGCAGGTGTATACATTCACAGGAGTTGACTGGATTCAACACAAATATAAACATACATTTTCGGTCTACGCCTCTAGACCTTAAATATACTGATATATACCGTGAACATGAATTTATTCCTGAGGAGATTAAGATCGGCTGAACTTTCAAGACCGGTAAATCAACTAGAAAACTGTTAGGGAAAAGAGGGTGCCCACTGATGAGCTGAACCACTCGCAGCTGTGTCAAGCAGCGGCAGAATATTGGCGAAACAGGTTGGGCCTTTTAGCAAGTACCTAGGCCCGGGGTTGGAAACCCATGTCTCGCGAACCAGGTATGGCTCTTTTAATGGTTGCATCTGGCTCTCTCACATAAAATGTAAATCGGAAACTTCAGATTTTGTGATTTTGGTTCCTACATGAATAAATCCAGCGGTTTGTAATACTCACATTTAATTTAACTACATCTTAAAATATACTATATGGCTCTAATTGAAATAAATTTTCAAATATTTGCTTTCTTGGCTCTTTGAGTCAAAAAAGTTGCCGACCCATGACCTAGGCTGTTAGTATGGTAAGTTCTAACGTCAAATTCCCCTTATTCCAACATTTGCAACAACCTGCACTAAGTAACCCAAACCACAACAGTATGTATAGCACCATGGAATTAACCGAAGGTCGCATATAATACACGGGATGAATACAAACTGCCGTGACCCATCTCAGTCGATGTAGTTACATGCAGTGGCTTAATATTAATATCACGGCTTCGTAAACTTATTTAAAGCCTAATATTAATATTAAAGCCAATCTCTATCGGACTCTACCACTGAAAATTGGTAATATGTTTTGTTCCGAAGAAAAAGTCATTTGGAACACGATAGTTTAGTGTTGGAATTTTCGATGCTGGGTCGCTAGTCCGTCGTCAGACAGATGAAAGTTGTATGAAAAGGTTAATTCTTCTGAACTGCTTCCTGGAACTCGCATATTCACCACTATTTGTTAATTCAAAATGATGGCTACTACACGATTATATATAGTAGGTCGGAGTATCAGTAGATAATCCTCACCCGCATATGATTATGCGGTCAGTTGGAAAAATATAATGCTATTATGCTGTTGGTTAGGAAATAGTCGTCACTCGCATTTATTCGTACGACCAGTGGTGGCAGTTTTTTGTTTCGTATAGTCCGCCATCTGCTGCATGCTCCCCTGAGGTTGGTATACCTAGCGTCCCTTCCGACGTGCCTTTTGATGCACAAGTCATCGGAGTTGATGGCTTTTAACAAATCACGGTCTTTCTTTAGTAAAAAATAACCAATTTACGTTTCTTCACATGCATATTTTTGTCCAGTTTCTAGTGTGTGCATGGTGACTTTGGACAAGTGAAATCACCTCTAAACCGCTCGTTGGCGTTCGCGTGAGCGGGTGGAGGCTGATCTTACTGCCTATCCACAATAAAGGGCATGGCGGCTGCCATAAGGAATCTTCTGAATGACTTCTTTTCTGTACCAAATAGCCAACCCTAGTCCTACGGTGTACAAATTGCTTTCGCAGTATAGTCTTTGGTTTGTATGCACTCTGATTTGATGCTGCCTCAGGTGTCTTTCAACGAGTTCAGACACGTTCTTAATATACGGAAGTGTTCGCCAACTTTTTGTATTGGACGCCTAATCGGGATGATTTAGTTTCTTTTCTTTTTGTTTTAACTGCTGTCGTCTCGTGCATCAACAAACAGATTCGCTGGGGTAACCGGTTGTACTTCTTGGGATGCCGATTTTCCATTTCATTGTTGTTCGTATGTTTTTATAAGCCATTAGTCTTGTTTTAAAATTAACACGACTCACGCAGAGCATAACTGTCATTTACTTTGTGTGGCTACATCTCATTTACTATAAACTTTACCACTTATTTCAGACTAACACTATGATCCAGTGTCGCCTATGTGGTTTCGTACACCAACATCTAAATGAACTGACCTCAATTAACACACAGGGCTTCGATTACTTCGTGAACATATCCCGACAGTGCACAGTGTTTTCAGCTTTCGCAAGAAACAACGTCTAAGGCTGGCTCAGTCATACACTATCCAGCAACAGAAAATTTTGTTTATAATGCTCGATGGCTGGAGAAATACCCATACCGATCCTTTTATATCGGCGTGTAGCAATGCTTGCTTATTTTGAAATAATAATCCAGGTTTTTTTAATGAAAACTTATCGCCTTGTCTGTCTTTGTTCTGAGTGCTACAGAACGCAGGGTGATAATGTTATAACCTTGGGTGTGCCTGCGTTGACACTGGTTATATCCCCAGTTGCGTTTTAGGAACAGGTTGCAGAACAGATAAGCAGCTAATACTTTACTGTCACAGTTCCTGCTGGTAAATCAGCTGCCTCTTCTTTTTGTCCGTCAGC